AGAGAGAGAGAGAGAGAGAGAGAGAGAGAGAGAGAGAGAGAGAGAGAGAGAGAGAGAGAGAGAGCCCGTTGTCGAGGAGAAAAAAGCGATACGGTTAACGGTAGCTCGCTCTGAGTGAGTATACTGGTTAAAGTGAGCTTTAGCAGCCTGAATCCTGCCGAGGTGAGTGAAGGACCCGCGGCGTTTAATGCCAACCTTGGTTAACCATCGTTCACCACGTCGGTCCTTTGGTCGTGTTTCAAACACGCTTTCGGTTCATTACTGCAAGACCATCAGGACGCTTGCTTCATCATTGCCGGACGGAAACGAGCGAACCCGTCGCCCATCCGGCGTTGTCTTTTTACGAGTCAAAGGTCCGTCGCCAGTAATTGCTTTGTGATGAAAACACCTTTCTCTCTCAGCGTTTGACGACGACGCGCCGACCGACGTATGTATGGGCGCAACGGCCATGTCGATGCGGATTGTCGGATTGTGTGATATGTCAATTAAGCATGGAGCGCGCATGTGAGATAAAGGAGAGCGTGCCAAACGCGCTCCGACCAATAAGTTCGCCGTGTCCGATAACTATCGGTCATTTATCAGATCTCATTGTACATTGATTGATCATGACCTTCGATCTCCTAGACACACTGATGATCGTCGAGTCGATTGCACTGCGCCTATCAGGAAGAGAACGATCCAAGGTTGCGGAGCGACTTGCAGGTTGTTAACTTGAGCTCTTTTGAAGGCGATTACGTTTGCAGTTTACGGCATCATACGCGGAATGACATGACGCACAGAAAGTTCCTCGTCCAAGTTCCCGTGGACCATAAAATTTTCACTAATTTTTATTGGCGCTTATATTTAAATCGCTAGGAAGAGTTTTTTGTCTCTCTCTCTCAGCCCATAAAATCGTCATTTTATTGTTACACGGAAAGAACAATTGCGTTAGTGTGAATTGAATTTTCTGTTAGTTTATCTGAGAACTAGATAAATTCGGCTGTAGGGACAGAAAAATTTTTGTTTAGGAAGTTTCTAATTAGCCAATTACTCTCAGTAACCGATTCTCAACCGAGTTTTAATGCAGCTGAATGTTTAGATGAATGTTTTCGGTCACAGCAACAGAAATAGGGGAGATCAGGGCAGAGATGTTCAGAATTTCAAGTTACAACTTCTCAGACAACTAATTGTTGTGACTGACTGTACAAATATGATAGAGACAGTCTTCATTTATGTGTTAATGCCTGCCACGATCCCGTTAACCATGCATTTCGTTTCGTTATAACTAAAATACAAACATGTAACAACATGATCATCTTACTTTGATACTGGGTTTAGTTGTCCAGTAGTGTAGGGTAAAAAGCCACATAAAATATATATCTTAATTAGTAGTCCCGAGGTCTCCACGAGAGAAGTCTCCACGGCCCTCCTGCTGACCCTTAATTATGAGTCAACCTTACGTCGTCCACTCATATACTCAATTTCAATCGTTTTATGAATGAAAATTACTTTTATCACTCGAAATAATAATATCATACACTTACAAGAAACTTCTAACTACACGTCGCTTAACTTTATTCACTCATAATGGAGAATATTAATACAAAATTTCGAGAAGCTCGAAAATTGATTCTGCTACTACTAAATCAGTTTTTTCTATTTTTTATCTATAATATTATTCCGATTTTAATGAAACTCAGGGAAAAGTATTTATGTTCTAAAAAGCTGTATCGCGATTTTGTATTCACTATTTCTCTTAAGATAACTACTACTACTTAAGAAAAGCACGTGAGCAACATACTCCTGGCGTCATCTAGACCTGGTCTGCTCTATTATTTTTCATCAGCGAGTTTTTTATCTGACCCCAGAAAATAAAAAATCAGTTAAACGAACCGGGTTTTCTTTTTTGCTTGCAAAAAAAGTTCCTCACTTTACGCTTTTGGCCCCCAAAATCATCACCTTATCGGTACTTGCATCTACACCGTCCGGCTCTCAGCGGAACACCTGCCCGTAAAGAGATCCACTCGCGCAAGGTACGAAATAACGTTCGCACGGTGTGTGTATAAAATACGCGGCGATCGATCGCGCGAGACCTATCATCATTATCGGCGCATGGAAGAAAGAATCATGATAAGTCCCGCTCGTTCGGCTCGATTGCCGAAAGTAGAGGAGAGCTCGACTTTTTGTTTCGGTATTAACGGAACAGCGTGCCTGAATATCGGTGTTAACCCCGAGGGGCCTCTCCACAGCATCAGCCGGAGGGTAGGGGACCGTACATATAAAGGAGAGAGCCCCGTACTCCGGGGGCCCAGTACCGTTCAAAGATGCAGGCTGCCGGGACGTTGCGTGGCACCAGGATCATCTCCTTTCTGGTGTTGCTGGTACCTCTCATTGGCTATGCCTGTGAGTAGAAACGACGTTCAAAACATCCGCCCTGACCCGCGATTGTGTGACACAATAACGATCGCATCGTGGAGGATCGCAGTGTTGTGCAGTGATCGCAATTCGGGATTACTATTCAGTGCGCTACCTCGAGAACTTTCGTCGCCGAGCGCGCCATCGCGAGCGATAAGTCTCAAATACGCAGCATTGTGTTCTCTAAATTTCTTGGAGTGAAGTCTCACTCAAAACGGGTGAAAAGTGGCAATGTTTTCGCTGGAAATACAGTAACGAAAATACTGCCTCTCGAAATCGCAAGAGCGAGTGTTTCATTCGAGCTTTAGAGTGAAATCTGAATTCATATGAATTCATATGTTCATATGAACAAATGTTTCGATCAACTGAAGTGAATATGTTTCTGTGACACGATGGAGCACATCAAATTCACTCGATTATTCAGAGTAGAGAATCCCCTTCGAAGACGAGTAAAGAATCATTCGAATTCGAATGATTCGGTAATCACTCTATTTTTTGGGTGAAATTTCATTTCCAAGAAATTTAGAGAGCAGAAATTCTTCTAAACCGCGAAAAACGCCGGCAAAATTAAAGGATGTTTTGTTCAAAATCAAAAATCTTTGTCTCTCTCTTGATTGCACACGAATGAAGATTAAAAAATATTAGTAAACCGAGTTTCTCGAATAAATGGATAAATAACGTTTATTCTTCCATAATTTCCACACAGAAAAAATAACTTAGCGTAACTGGATTTTCGCTTGCCGGGAAAAATAGAGATCAGATGAAGAACTTGATTGTAGAAACAGAAAGATTCCTGTTGAAGGTTATTAGTCAATTATTTTCAGTTATCGTATATACACAAACGAGCTTTAACACAGACAAATGTTTTCGGTTGCGGCAACAGAGATATCGTTTCTGTCGTCGAATTTTTTGTCTAGTCCCTGATCAGTTACACAAACTAAGATCTTTTTCCTGCACTGGATTTTGCTTTAATTGAACTATAATTTATTATACAGATATATCCAAGACTAGAAATCGAGATATTGAAGAAAAAAAATACGTTCTTGGATATATTCGACTTGTTTTGTAATTCGACGAAGTTAAAAGAATTATACGCGTTGTCTATCTCCGGAACAAGATAGAAGAGAAAAACATCAATTAACTTGGCGAAGGGGATAAAAGCGATTCTCAGCGGAATTGCCCGTTACAACTTGCACAATATCCACACGTGGTGGGATCTAAATCACGCATCTACCGAGCGCTTGATCCAGCTAATGCCTATGCACGCGATTAAATATCCGCATTGCTATCATAGCCAATAAGCTCGCCTTGCCAAGTGCGCATTACCAACGCAATCATCCGCGTGTTAAGCACACGCGCGGTTTCCTCATCTCCCTGTTCTCACCTCAGCGTGTTCGATTTCTTTTAGATTCGAGTCCTCTTCAATATTTACCTAACATCCCTGGCTACGTTCCGGTTTACATAAGATACGGAGACGAGCCGTTGGAGCATATAAATCCCGAGTTGGCCGAAGCTTTCGGGGAGGCATCGAGTTCGGCTAAGGTACTGGTGGATCCGTTAAGTGCGCGCTTAAATCCGAGAGACTCAATGTATTTGGAATAATATGCATAAGCGTGCGTCTCGTGCGGCAATTCACCTGTTAATTTTATGTCGTTAACGACCGACTTTACAGCTAGACCGTACGCTCGCTCACGTGTCCAACAGCTTTAAGGACAACGACATAGACGCGCTTTTAGAAGAGTCCGCGGGAGAGCATGCTTATCCGCTGCGCGTTCGAGCAACGGAAAGTCGCTCGTTCGCCACTGTCGGCGACAATGAGCCGACCAACAGGAACAGGCCGAAGCTTTTGACTATTTATGAATTACCCGATGATAATGAGAACAGACGAAATCGCAGGCGTAACCGACTCAGAAACAGGCCGAAAGAACAAAGCCGAAGAGCACCCGCGTTCAAGGTAAACATAATTAAATAAATTACACGCCCGCGCAAACATGGCCTTCGAAAATGTTACGAGAATTGTTGGAATATTTTTATTAATTTCAAAGATAAATTTTGAAAAAAATGCGCAACTAATGCCTCTTTATTCTTTTTTTTACGTTATAAAGATGATATAAAATTAGTTTGATGATTCATTTTAAATAGGAATCTCATCACCTCGTAATACTTTAACCATTAAAAATAAAGATTGCTTCACGTAAAGCGCGCCGCGACAAACAACAGCGCGTCAATTCCGAGAAGAGGCATTACTAATTTGAATATATTGCATTTTCGATTTCTGCACATCTATCTCGATTGACGTCCGCGTGTAATCTACAAGGGAGATCTGTGAGTCACCTGACGTCGTTTGTCGCTTCATCGGCACGCGGCGACGCGTTTAAAGATCCTATCTACACATGATTGAGCTTTGCGAGGTGGGCCGTAGTGCCATGATACGTAAACGAACAAGCACCTTTAATTTATTCCCGACAAATGTGATACAAGCGCTCGTGATTGGACAGCTTCATTTCGTTACTATTTGAAGCAACGACTCAATAAGTTAACAAACAATATTTAGTCAGTTT